TACAACGTTTCGAAAAGGTTTTGTCATTATCAGGTACCTTGTCGAAACGTTGTACATTTGCTGTTATGTTAAACTTATATTAAAGTTTTTCTTCATTACTCATTCAAGCCGTCACCAGCCATTATTAGACATGATATTCTAGAATCTCCAGCGCGCATGCTTCCAGCGTCGCGTGACTTCCGCTGTTGTCACAATATCTATAGTCTCACCGGAGATACCACTGGACGAGCTTCTAGGGGAACTTTCCTGTCGATGCTACTTGATTTTAGCTGTGATTCATAAGCTTGAGTAAAAAATTTAGGTATCTGGAATATTGTTGTTTCTTACGAAGGAACAACAATAACGATATTTGTAGTGATTGGATAAACTAAGAAATAATAAGGTTTTGTGATGTAATAAATAAACTGAAGTAAACTAGATAATATATCATACCACTCACATTGAATAAGTAAATTATCTGTAAAATAATTTTAAAGAAAAATAAATTCAAACTAATTGAAAAGTATATTAATTAGCAGTTTTATTGTATTTCTTCGTTAGCTTTGGAATTAAAACATGTTACGACAGTGGAAGTCACGTGACTCTGGTAACACGTGATGAGTATCTAGAAGATTCGCGAAGACGCTAGTTTTTGCTAGACATGCGCTCTTATAGTATATATGACCGGCGAGAAGTGACGGCATAGATATATAGATAATTACAGACAAACAGAGACGGACAATTGAGTCAAGCGCTTTTGCTAGACATGCGCTCTTATAGTATATACGACCGGCGAGAAGTGACGGCATAGATATATAGATAATTACAGACAAACAGAGACGGACAATTGAGTCAAGCGCGGTAGTAAAGTGCGTGAATCGTTGTGTGGAAATTAAGTGTATTGCAAACTTGTATTGAGAAGGAATAAACTAGTTTTATTTAAGAAAGGACTTGTGTCGCTGAAGTTTCATCAGAAATAAATTATACGGAAAATTAACAAACGAACAGAGAGGTAACAAATTGGTGTCAGAGAGTGGGAAGAAAAAAATGAAAGAAGATGGAAACGAGAGGTGGCAAATCAAACTACAGCTTAGCAAATTTGATGGCAGTAATACAAGAACGAGAAAAGAAACAAGAAGAGAGACTACAGCAGTGGTTGGAGGAAAAAGAAAACAAACAAGAGGAACGAGAAAATAACAAGAAGAGAGACTACAGCAGTGGTTGGAGGAGAAAGAAAATAAACAAGAAGGAAGTCTCCAACAATTGAGAGAAAGCCAGAGTACACAAATGGAAAACATTAGTAAATTTCAAAACGAATTAAATGGATTAAAGGATGATTTATTGTATTTTACACAAGGAGAATACATTAACCATCGACTTGATCAGTCCCAGAAAACGGCAAGCCTCTTCAAGACCCCGCAGCTAAACCCTAATGCAGACATCTTCAGTCCTGTTAGAAGTCACATCCCAGATATGAATGTCAGTAATAGGGGTGATCTAGTACGAAGGAAGCCACAGGAATTCGATGGGAAGGCACCGTGGGAAGCATATAGAGCACAATGTAAGCTCCTGGCAGAAATTAATGGACGGACAGAAGAGAAGAAAGCAGTATATATGGTAA